CTGGTTGTCATGGGCCAAAATATGCCCTTTAGTTATGAGTCAAAAGTAACTCTTCGTCTGGTTCGGCAGACTTATGTGGAGGGGGCATGTTGGGAATTAAGTCTTACATCGCCTACCTCATTGTCTTGAGAATGATTTAAATACATGTTGGATTACTCCTCTCATTGTCAATTAGTTTTGAAATAGAACGTTAACTTATTGAATATTCAATAGCTTCTGAGGCTTCTTAGTGATTGTTACAGGCCAATTAATGTGCCATGTAGATGGGATTCATCTACTATGATGCCTGAGGAACACTCAATTAAACAAGGGAAATCATTGTTTCCATGCAATACTCAATCATTTGAAGTTCAGTATGCAGATAATGAATACAAAGAGAACATCGAAAATTCGCATTTAGGATTCTCCAGAAGAATCTCATCTCCAGAAACAGTTAGTCTTGAATCCAAGCCATGTCAAAGTATTAAAATGCTCACTGATGATTGGGAACTTAGTTCTCCATTTTCGGCTGTCTCTGGTCTTTGTCAAGAACCTGATGCAAAATCTTCAGTTCATGTGCTTCCAGAACTCGTTATAGACGAGGACGATAATGATGATGATGATGATGAAATTATGAGCTCGTTTGTCATAGAAGTAAACTCCAACTTAAGAGACGAAAGTTGTGAAACAACAGCGGTTGATGAAGCAATTGCATGGGCTAAAGAGAAGTTTCAATCACGAAATTCGGATGACGAATCGAGGTTGAGAAAGGATATCGGTGATCGAAGCGCTGGGATGGAAGGTGATTATGATTTGAATTTTTGATAAATTTAATGCATAATAGTTAGTCCTGTAACAGAAATTGCAGACACTTCATATTTGTATCTGATCATACAATGCAGGAAGGCCTGAGACAGATGAATATCATGATGATGAGATTAGAAAAGTTAAATCTCCTAAGGTAATGTGTTGCATTGATTAAGCATAATTGTATAAATAACTAAATAAGCATATTCATATAGTACTAATCGGTGATTTAAATTGCGGACCGCATCACCTGATGCAGCCGCAATATCACGGTTGCGGTGACCGCCACAACCGCATCACACCATAAGTGTGACTCTGAATCACAATGATGTGGCCGTATCGAGCCGCGACGCAACCTCATCAGGCCGCATCGGATTCAAAAATAATTTTTTAATCACAAAATAATTCACAGGCAATGGCCGAAATGATCACAGTCGCAGTAACCGCAACCGTTATCACAATTTCAACCACAACCGCAATTTAAAACACTGGTATTAATGATACAAAGCTTTATATACTTTACAAGTCCAATATGTGATTAGAAATGTTTACAAGTCTATGATGGTGTGATCTACTTCTGTCAAAAGTTACATGTTTATCTTCTATCGTGATGAAAATTCAATGCTTTGTAAAAGGTTCATGGTTCATTTTAGGATTCATTCTCTTTTGTTTCCATTTCTTTCACATGGACAAAAATTTATACTGATTGTTCTGTCATTTGTATAGAAGCTAGAGCCAGAAACTGAGAAGCTGGATAGAGATATAAGATTGTGGTCATCTGGCAAAGAAACAGACATACGACTTCTACTTTCGTCGCTACATCATGTAACATTTTTTCTTTTAGAGACTTCACTCTCCTATCAGTATTCAGTAATTTATCTTAATCCAGCCTATAAGTAGGCCTTTCCGTGACACAACTCTCAATGAAAGCACCAATTGTTAGCACTTAACAACATGAGGAGAACCCAACCCAAAAGACTAGTCTATTAGGTGGGAGAGCTTCATAGCTTAAGTACCACATTGAGTTTGTTATTCTACTCAATTTGGAACTCCTAACATATACTTTATTGAATCTTCTGTAGTTTCATACCCTTTTGATATGTGTGCAAATTACAAAAGAAATGTCATGGTTATAACTTATATGTTTTCATTAACAGATTCTATGGCCTGAGAGTGGTTGGTATGCTATTCCAATTATGAGCCTAATACAAAGCTCACAAGTGAAAAAGGCCTATCAGAAAGCAAGACTATGCCTCCACCCAGATAAATTGCAGCAAAGAGGAGCAACAGTCCTACAAAAGTACATAGCACAGAAAGTTTTCTCCATTCTTCAGGTATGTAAAATACGAGTTAGGATCCTCTCCATTAATGGAGAGACAAGTACTTCAAAAATCAAAGGAAAATATAACTTTCATTGACATATTTATCCTTCTAGTTACAATAAAATTACACTTTTGCCATTAAAAACAAAAGAAAATATATGCATTTGTCTCTCCATTAATGGAGATGATTCTTGTAAAATATATACCGGATAGGGCAAATTCTACCAGTAAGTTTCTCTCAGGCAATGAAGTTTAGACTAAGAATCAATCCTGAAATTAAGTTCACATCTATGTTGGAACAGGATGCATGGACTTCATTCATTTCTGAAGATGTTTCATTCTAAAGAGTGGATCATTCTTATTCCCGATAGGTCAGTTTTGGTTTAAAGCGCATTGACAAGGGAGCAGATATGTCCGAAAAAGCATATCACTCTATGTGTTGTGATTGGTTGAAAAAAATATATATTTAAATTAAAAGTTTAATAATTAAGTGTTGACCAATCACACTAAGTGGTGGGTAGATGAAGTGACACACTTTTCGGGACAGGACTTGTGATCCTCATAGACAAACATCGAGCAATGCATTCGGAATGGTGGAAGTGTTCGTTGCCATGTAGTCGTTATACGATAAGTTTACATGGAATTTGAAAGTAGCATCTCCTTTGTACAAATTGTTGAGTGTTGGATCTGGTGTTCTATTCCAGTTTGTATCATGAGTTGGTTGAGGCTTTTGTAGGTATTATTTTGTGAGTATTTGATTGGTTTCAGTATTTGACTTGTATATGATGCCATGGAACCAAGAAATAAATGTTATTCCATTCACTTTTTCAGCATTTTATGCTACACAACTTTATTCATTACTCTTAGTTTTTCTTATTAGGGTAGACAATTCTTGGTGTTCCCACTTACAAGTTCTAAATCTATATCCATAATCGATACAGACATCGATATGTTAAGGTTTTGTGAGTCGCCAAAATTGTATCGTATCCGCAATTGAGGCCGCATCAGCTGCATTTTCCTGAAATTGATTGTAAAGTCAATGTTTCTGAGTCTCCGAAACCGTAATTGCGACAACTACTTAAAACTTGGCCCAAGCTGAAATATTACAAGTGCTGCTAAATGGTACATATCCTATCCTTAGGAAATTGACATTTCCATGGGTCGGACCACCCCATAATATTTTATTATAAATTATGTTCATTGATAACACATATGTGACTTCTAATGATTTCCTCAATACATATTTAAACCGCCTAAGGAATGATTTTACCATTTTTTCTATAGTAGGAGCTACTCCAAGTTTCTTCATAATGCCTTCAATTTTAATCCTATATTGTCTAGTATGTTCACTCATCAACGCAATATTTGTATATCTGTTACATGAAATTTATTCCCTTGTGCACATTTCACCGCTCAATATTCAGTCTTATATAACATTGCAAGTCTTGAGTAGTAAAAAATTCTAATAGTCTTGAATGAACATTTCTATCACATATATATGACACATAAAGTACTATGTCATTTCATCCAAAATATATGACTTCGAATATTATATTTCATCTTTCTTTCCAGTATCATCAATATAGAAGAAACACATAAAAAGGCAGCCAAACATTTACAATAGCAACTCACAACAATTTATGTGACTTATATCACTGATTATAAATTCGGCTTATCCAGATCTTATCCAAATCAAATCTCATGACCTTATCCAAATTCGGCTTCACCAGATCTTGAGGGTTGTCACTGATGTTCGTGTTTGGCTATCTCATGACCAGATCGTTGATGTCAATTATGTCGTTTGAGAGGCTAATCAAGTAGTTGACTTCATGACAAAACTTGACCCACACTCTTAAGAGGAGCTTAGAATCTCGAACATGCTCTCTTGTGAAGTTGTGATTGTCAATTCTACTTTGCCAATGATATCCCTCCTCTAATTTAGTTTTATTTTCTTGCTTTTTGACTTTCCCGTGTCCAAAAAACACTACTTTTACCCAAAAAAGATACCGCCGTTCTATAAAATTTTGAATAAACACAAATAAATATAAGTCAAATATTAGCATAATTAGGAATGGAAACGGTAAGTATAATAACTTGAGAAAACTGTAACCACTAATTGTATAAAAGTTGTATATATTGTCATTCTATTATCTACAATTTATTTTTATTCACCATTGACTACTAAAAAAAGTAATACAAATAAATAGTAAATAATATACTGATCATATATAAATATTTATACTAACAATACATAAATAAGACTCATTTTTTAATAAGTTATAGAAATATGATCATTTAAGTGGAGTTTATTTATTCTAGTTGGACCAATCAAATCTCCAATGCAATAAACAGGCCCAAAATTAGGCCTAGTTTTATAGCGTCACTTTCAGAAATAAATAAAACCCTAAAAGCATTTTATATATAAAGTTAGTAGCAGCTTCTTCAACTTCCGAAACCCTAATTTCATAATCAAGAAAAATGGCGGTACCTTTGCTTTCGAAGAAGATTGTGAAGAAGAGGGTCAAGAGATTCAAACGCCCTCAGAGTGATCGCAAGATCTCCGTCAAGGTATCTATCTACCCATTTTAATTTCTTTTTTTAATTTGATTTAGTTTTTTTTTTGTAATTTGTGCCCTAAATTGTGTAATATGGTCACTGACATTTTATATGCTCATTATATTTTGTAATAACTTTTGTTTTCCTAGTTTTAAGGTTAAAAATGTTTTTTTTCTCTCTAGATTCTTAGGTTGGTTGATTATTTAATTTGTAACATGTTTCTATCTATGTTTGGTGCCTTTTTAGTTTTATTTTTTAATCTGGATAATTCTCGTGTTGATGTTGAAGTTCATATGGTTGAATTTCATAATGTCACTAATTTCTCTTTTTTGTCATGGATGTTATGATAGTATTTGTAGAACCATTCGTAATTTGAACAACACGATTCTGTAATATGGTGACTGATGTTGTATCTGATCCTTTTATCTTATAATAAGTTCGATTTTTCTAGGTTTTAATGTTAGTATGATGTATTGTTAAAGTTTGATTATTTGATCCTATATATGTTAATTTGATAGCTTAATATGTGTTGTCTTCAGTAGAGTATCTCATCTTTGTTTTTATCATTTAGATTTATTCCTCATTTTGACATGTATCTTGTATCTTTTAGTCCATAGGTTTAATGATTTGTTTTTTAATTTTGAACCACAATGAAATGATGATGTTTATCCTTCATGATCTGCGATGAGATATGATGATGTTTATCCTTCATTTCTGCAAAAGAATGATGATTATCAACATGCACTACCATCTGATCTCTTGCACGTCTTCAAATCTGTGTGCTAATTATGCTGTCAATTGTTTTTCTTTTGGTGTGAGGATTACACAAGCTGTTACTTAATCTATATTAGACCTTAATACTGTTCTGTAATGTGCACTGATTATAAATTTTATTGTTCTGGTGTGTATTTCAGACGTTCACTTACTTTCAATGTGTGTCGTGTATTTTCTTTCATTTTGATTGTTAATACATGATTGGGGAATAGTAAACCACTCATCTGATTGGTTATATATGCTAGTTAAATTTGTTGGACGAAGGTGTTAAATGGGTTGAAATTGGTTTTGCTTATACTGTAATATAACCATGTTTTTGGCTTTTTATTTGCAACAGCCAAGCTGGCGCAGACCCAAGGGTATTGATTCCCGTGTCAGGAGGAAGTTCAAAGGATGTGTTTTGATGCCAAATATTGGTTATGGTTCCGACAAAAAAACTCGCCACTATTTACCAAATGGCTTCAAGAAGTTTGTTGTGCACAATGTGCAAGACCTTGAACTTCTAATGATGCATAACAGGTGAAGTACTGAATCTCATCTTGTATCATCTTCATTCACCACTTTGCATAAGATTATTTGCTGAATATCTCATTTGTTTTGATGTTAATTCAGGACATATTGTGCTGAGATTGCTCACAACATCTCCACAAGGAAGAGGAAGGAAATCGTTGAGAGAGCCGCTCAACTTGACGTGGTTGTCACTAACAAAACCGCCAGACTTCGCAGCCAGGAGGATGAGTAAATCTGAGTGTTATTTATGTTTTGTAGTGAGCTTCAGTTTGTAAACCCTTTATGGATTATGATCATTTTGTTTATTGCAAAAACCTGTTGCTTGTTATACATTTGATTTATGTTGGTTAGCTTATTGTCTTGTTGGTTCAATATTTTCTGTTAATTTTGGTATTATCTTATATTTTCTGTTAACAACATGATGTTTATCTCGTTAGTTGTCACTGTCAACAATGATGTTAGAACATATTAATGTCGTTCACCATTGTGGAACACATTTTTATTAAGAACTCATTCCTATTTTGCAACTTGTTATGATTGTTCTTTGACACTAGGCTCGGTCGGTTCGTGAGTTGAGTTTAAGAGATTTCGTAGCATCCATGCTAATTGTGATTGAATGATTCATTATATAGTGATTGTGTAAAAACTAGTGTTGTAGTCTTAATTAATGAGTAGTTGGACTGTTTTGAATCGGAGAAATTATGGTTCGATTTTGCAAAATTCGGTTAAACCAGAATAACCCGGGAAGTGAACCGGACGGTTCACTTAAAATTTAAAAAATTGTAAGTGCTTTTTTTTATTTGTTCTATAAAAATATGGAGAGAAGTTACTTCAATATAGTTATATAAAATTTTACATTTATAGATATTTATGGATACAAATTATTAATTATATTTAAAATTATTCGGTTCAATCTGATTGTTTAACTCATAGTTTTGAAAACCGTGCCGTACCGGCCGGTTCAACCGGAAAACCGGACCCCTAACCGGTACGGTACGTATGTTATACCGCATATGCAATAGAACCGGTCAAAACCGGTGAAAACCGGTTGGTTTGTACATTAATTTTTTTTTTTTTAAATTTCAAATTTTCAATTCTTCACCAATTCTTCAACTTCAATGATTGATACTTGAGTCATTTATTTGTATTTTGCGTTTGTTAAATGATAATTTTGGATAAATATATGTTTTGTACTTTAGACTTTGATTTTATTAAAGACTTAATGTTGCTTGTTTGTGTGAATTTGAAGTAAATTATGAATATGAATTATAAATATGAATATCTATTTATTTGAAATTTTTTGTTATAGGTTTACATATATATATAAGCAAGTATGTCCGGTTTAACCGGCATGCGGTTTAATTACTGAACCACTGGTTGAACCACTGTACCACTATACCAGTACCCTAACCGGTTTGATAACCGGTACGATTTTAATAACATTGGTTTAACTGGTTAAACCAAATATGTAACTTCTTTTGGATTGTTGTTTGGCTCCAGTTTTTATAGCATTGGTAAAAACTCATAAATTGATGTTTCATAAAATATTAAACTCAATTTTTAATTGCTTCAATTTAACATGTGATCATTAGCATAGTTTCAAATTAATGCAATTACTTGTTTTGGTTCTTCGGTGGATAATTTTGAGTGGAGGAGCAATTTTCTTTGAAATATTGGATTGAAAGGTAAATATCTCACAAAATTTATTTGAAACCGTACCGGTTATTAAACCGGTCAGGGTATTGATATAGTGGTACAATGGTTCAGTAATTAAACTGCATACCGGTTATATATAAACCTATAACAAAAAATTTCAAATAAGTGAGTATTCAGATTTATAATTCATATTCATAATCTACTCTAAATTCACATAAACAAACAACATTAAGTCTTTAACAAAATTAAAGTTTAAAGTGCAAAACATATATATGAATCCAAAATTATCACTTTAACAAACCCAAAATACAAATAAATGACACAAGTATCAATTCTTGAAGTTGAAGAATTGGTGAAGAATTGAAATGTGAGGCAGAGTATTTTCACTTTTCAGGGTTGAAGGAAACCCTTTCTCCTAAACGACATCATTTAGGGGATGAAATTAAAAAAAAAAAAATGTATAAACCGACCGGTTTTGACTGATTCACCGGTTTTGACCAATTCACTGGTTTTGACCGGTTCTATTGCATATGTGGTATAACATATGTACCGTACCGGTTAGGGGTCCGGTTTTCCAGTTGAACCGGCCGGTACGGTACGGTTTTTATAACATTGACTAAAATGTTGGGTTTTCAATAAAAACAAATTAACATGTATCCTCTAAAACTTTAGGTTTGCAACAAAACAATGCTCATTAGCCATCATTCTTCTTATTTGTTATTACCTCAACACTAATTATTCTTACCAAGTTACCAATCCATCTCTCTATTTTTTCTTGAAATTATCTTTTATTTGATACCAACGAAGGAAATAAAATAAAAAAATCAGCGTTGGCAGGCACGTTTGTGAATAAAGTCATAAACTCTTGTTATTGTTTGTGCATAAAGTGTATTAAATATGTGAAAACCTAATTTTTGGATCCATGAACATGTTATTACTTTATACATAAACTTCGAAATTTATGCAATACGTGTATTTTATTTAATAATTATTAACTTGTATCCCCTATTTAATAAAATATTTTCTCTATGATTGTTCTTTTTAAATTTTTAAACTTACTACACATTTAATTTTTTTAGAATTGATGGCTAAGATGTGGAGTAAGTTTAAAAAAATTACCCTTTGAGAGAAACCTGAATATGCATCAAAGTAAAAATAAAATATATGATGATATATCCTCATACTTCACAACAAAGTGATATATGTCACTATTAATCATTAATAAATAAAGTATTATTTTAAAACATTTGTACAAATATATATCATTTTTCAAAATAAAATGGTGGGACCAATTTCATATGGGTTCATCCATTAACTTTGTTTAAGTTATTAGTTGCACTTAATCTATATACTATGAGTAATGTTATATCATCCTACTAAATCCTCATACCCACAAAAAAATGACATATGTCATAAAATGATACTTTATTTATAATTTATTTATTAGTGATTGGTTTGCAAGTGACATATGTCACTTTCTTGTGGGTAGGAGAATAAGTATGAAGATTTAGTAGGAAGATATCATTTTCCATATACTATATAACAAAATAAAGTCTTTCTTGCCACAAGTCATTTCCTCATCATTTCTTTTCCCTCCTAAAGTGTTCTATACTACTACTATGTACCTTCCCACATTACATCCTCACTTTTTCTACCTTTTATATTTTAACAATTTAAATGTTAATTAATGTTTGGTCCTTATGTTTTGTTTTGTGAAAAAATATCAACTATTGAACATTAGAGGAGATTGAAATTCCTTTTCACATTCAGCTTATTTTTGTATGTTTCTCATTTCTTTTCATTTCTACCCTTACCCCTTCATTTATCTCCTACATCTTCATTTCTCTCAACGTTTCGTTCGCAAGATTTACTTTGTAATCATCATAAAATATATGTTTTTCTTTTTTTCTTCAAACAACATTTCTCTTCAACAATCTTTCTCTTCTAACTATTTTTTTTTGTTTACTTTTTCATTGATTTATTTATTTTTTATTAGTGTTCTTAGTGATTTTATTATTTCTTAGATCTGTTCTTCCAACATTTCTCTCCGTTAGCGTCTGATAAGCAAGGGTATCATCCTAAAGGACGACCACACCTTCAAAACATGTGATATGTACTCAATCTCATTTTATATATATATACATTCAGTTGCAATATTCTTTATTTTTATTATTGATATATTTATTTCGTTCTTAACATTTTCTCTCTTCATTTGTAGTTTGATTCTCCTTTCTAGCATCTCTACACTCTAGTTTTATCTCTCTTAAAATCTTATTTTATATATACATTTTTTTATACATAGAATCACTAATTTAATTTTTTGTTTTGCATGTTTCAGAAACACCTGAATTATATTCTACTCTGAAATAAGGTAAGAATCATGGTTAGTTATTTATGTTTTTGTATTTCATTTTTCTATTCAATGATTTTAAAAGTCTATTGTTTAAAATATATATTTGTTGCTTATGTTACCGTAGTCATTTGGGTCCATTGAGAATGGTAGAACCAATGAATTCAATTATCTTCTCTCTTCTTTGACATTTTGGTTATCTTTGACAATTTTTTTGTATCGTTTTGTATGATATAGTTAAAAATAATAATATGTTATAAATTTTAACTTTTCTTTTTACATCTACATGTACTAAAATAGTTATAAATTCAAACATTTCATTTTTACGTTTCATGTATAGAAAATACGTAGTCAAATGCTCATGAAGTATTTAGTTAACTAATTAAACAAATTTCTCCATTTTTATACATAAATGTAACAAAGATAAAGATATTTCGTTTTCAGATATAATTTCCTTATATTATCACAATT